GCTCATGTGCATTGCTACAATCACGCCCCCTGCGAGACTACGGGTGTCCCTACACCAGATAGCTTGCGCGTGCTGCTGCCAAAACAGACATGAGGTGACAAGAAAGAGATACGACGCGAAGAGGGGAGAGATGCCTCTGAAGGCGCTTCCTCGGAGGGCTGAGGCGGGCTCTCTGAGGCACCTTCAATAGGGTTCCTGGGTGGCCCGACCCTTGTCCTTGCCTTTGTCGGCCCCTGGGGGCCCCGTCCCTGGGGTGACCTGGCCTGGCTGGTCGATCCAACTGCAGGCAGCCACGGGTTCGGCGGCCGCTGCGGCTTCCTCCTTCTTAGTTTCCAGAGTGGCCGCTTGTGGCAGGTGGATGGTGCCTCCCGTGAGGTGCCCGAGGAGGGTCTGGATGTCGCCGCGCAGTGCAGCGGCGTCGGCGGTTGCCGTCTGTTGCTGGGTGACGACGGTGGCAAGCCCCCGTTCCAGCCCTGAAACGTGCTCCGTGAGTGTGGCCTGGGAGGAGAGAACGCCCGCAAGCTGCACCTGCATGTTATCCACCGTGTTGGCTAGCAGCTCGTGCTGCTGTTCCATGTGCTGGATGCGGGTCGTGGCAGCATCGGGCGGTTTAGAGGCCGATGCGAAGCGCTCGCCGAAGGTGTTGAGTTCGTGGGAGGCCACGCTGTATTCATCACCTGATGAGAGGATCTCGACGTCGACGACGTCACCTGGTACTTCGGCGGCTGTGGCAGCGTCGCCTTCGGTGTGGCCCCCACCTTCTGCCGCCGCCGTGCCAAGCCAGGGGTCGTGGCCACCTGGTCCTGGGGCGGCCGTCGGTTCAGCGGCTCCGTCCGTGCCGTGCGGGGGTGCAGAGGAGCTGCGGCCTGGGGCGCAGGGTGGCCTTGCGTGCGGCGTGGCGTCACGTTTCCCGCTGGAGGAGCGGTGGCGCTTGGCTGAAGGCTCCTCCTTGGGGGTCAGGAGCGGTGCGACGCCCTTGCCTTTGGGCGTGGCAGTCATGAGGTCGTGGAGGTAGGGGCTCTGGGCCGCTTTGGTGAGGAGTGTGCCGGTGGCGGGGCTAAAGCCGCCACCACCGGCTGGCGGCGTCACAGGCTCTGTGATGGTGGTAGGCGTGACGATGGTAACGTTGTCCCGCTTCGGCGCCACCTCAGCCAGCGGGGCCTCGGTGATGCTCCACGGGATGGGGCACCCCGCGACCTGCACCGTATAGGTGAGTGGGGGCCGATGAGCGCGCACTAAGGCAAACTGGGCCGCAGTGGCTGGGTCCCAGGCGGTGTGGTAGACCTCACAGTCCCATTTAACGGACGGGCCCGTGAGAGTCTTGGCGAGCTGGGTCAGCGTGGCGTGGCGTGCCGCAATGCCAGTGATGCGGTAGCGCGTCTTGGCGAGGGTAGCCTCGCAGCCGCGGATGCTGACAGCAGCGGCCTTGGCGACGTCGGACCCCCGCGGAACACGGATCCCCAGTAGGCCTGACTTGCCGTGCCTGACGACTCCCAGGGCCTTGAACTCCACCGACTTCTGGAACGCGTCTGCCATCGTGATGGGCTGGTCCTCAGGGAACCAAACGGTCTGATACTTGTCGGCGGTGGGCTCGTCTGCACCTACGTTGCTGAGGTCGTAGGTGGCACCGAGTTGCCCTGATCCCGCCAGGACCTTGTCGACCGCTTGGAGACTGACGCCGAAGGTGGCAGCCAGGGACCTCTTTCCGACGCCCGATCCAAACCTGCCTAGGCTTTTGCAGGGTTCGAGGATGGTGACGGCTTTAAAGTTGCCGTGGAAGAGGGCCTTGAAGGTGTCCTGGAGCTGACTATCGAGCTCCTGGCGGCGAGCGTCTTTCTTGGACTCCTTGTGCTTTTGGCGCGCCTTGTCCTGTGGAGCGGAGTCGCCTCGAAAAGGGCCCTTGGCGCGTGGACCACCGTTCACGGGGGCACCTCCCGAGAACTGGTCCTCGAAGGCCTGGTGCATGGAGGGGACTGCGGCAATGGCCTCGGTCTCGTGTATGGTCGCCCGAATCCAGCAGACGTGGTCGGCAGGGTCGATGGTGGCGACGGCTACCTTTTCCGTGCAGGCGACCTCCTTGGTGCCCAGCTGGTACACGGTCACGGGGACGTGCGTGTGGACCACTTTGGGCGCCTTGGGGTGACGCTTCAGGACGGGGACGGCGAGCTCGGTACCGACGTAGTTGTCGTTTTTCGGGCCCATGACAGCAATCGCGAGCTGACCCGTGGCTCGCTTGCCCTGCTCGAGGTGGTGTTGCAGCAGCCGTTCACCACTCTAGTCGTGGAGGCTGATGCTGGGCTTGTACGTCTTGCCGTCGTCAGGCGAGGTGGGTTCGGCAAGGACAGGGACCTTCCAAAAGGCAGGGTCCAAGGCGATGAATTGGGTGTCCGCAGCCTGAAGACGTGCGGAACCCGCTGGTGGGTGCGATGTGTCACCGCCAGTGCGCTTAGGCTTGCTGCGCTGGTGATGATCGAGCGTGTAGCTAATCTGGTTGGCGGCGCACATGCGGATAAGGGCGCTGCCAAGCTTCTTCGTGTTGGACTTGTGCATGTCGTACATTGCCTGGAGCTCGTCCGCGTTCAGTTCGGCTAGCCCGTTGTAGGCGGCCGTGGGGCGGTCAGACCCCGCTTGCTTGAACGCTGCGATGCAGTCCTGCTTGCGTTGAAGGAGGGACCCTTCAGCAGCAGGGCGCGTGGGGCGGGAGCTCGGAGGCTGCTTAGAAGAGCGACGGCGCTCCGGCTTCTTGGGGGCCATTGCTGCGGGCACTCTGGTGTGGAGAGGTGACGCGAATCAGTAGGGTCCTGCTGGGACCCCTCCGGTCTCGCGAGGCCTGGGAGTCTGACTCCGAGGCGGGGCGCTTCGCGTCGCGGCTGCGGTCTGAGTGCAGGGCACTCTCGAGCCGAGACTAGAGAGTCAGTGGGAGAGATAGAGAGAGAGAGAGAGGTTGAAACCGGATTGCTTTGTTCTGTGGTGTGTGCGAGTGCGCACCACTATTCATACGCGGCGGCCATTATTCACACGCAGCGGGCATTGTTCCCGAAGTGCGGCTCATCCACCCGACCCTTCCCCTCCTCCCTCCTCTCCCCCGCCCCTCTCCGGCTTCCCCCACCCCTCCATTTTCTAGGCCTCCTAGATGGGGTCGGAGTAGATGAGGTCGGATGATCGTGCCGCATCGCCAATGCATCGGCGATGCGGCTCGATGTGGGGCCCACTTTTCTCCACGCCGACGTCGCCGATGCCAACTCTCCATTCCCTCCACCCCCCTTTGCCTTACTCCCTATTAGAAAAGATTCCCACTGCCACCTAGCCGGCAAATGGAAATCCCATCCGGGAGGGCCCCATTTTGTCAAACAAATATACAAACACGATATGCTCCGATTTTACGTGGGCATTAACGTCGTCCATGTTGCAGAATGCGTAGCAGGAGTACAGTCACAGTCAACCCGCATAGAAAAGATGGGCAACCTTCCCAAGGGTACCCTTGTATCCTTGCCTCCTCGGTCCATCCTGCGACACTTTGGTTGGCCGCGCCCCGCTCGAAAAGCTTCGAAGTGGGCGTCCTAGGCCCTTGCACCCTTATTGCGCATCCTTACTATACGGTTGACTGTAGGACGGGGCGCACATCCCGTGCGAATTGCCAGAAGGTCGCTCTCGCCTCGGCGCCGCCGTCACTTCTAGAGCATTGAGCCCACGCTCGGGCGCGGCACGCACGTGTCGCTGCGTGTCCGTCGACGCGCCCGCGGACGAAACCGTCGCTCCTGCCTCGGCGTCGCGCAGATGTTGCTTGACAGCGGCGCTCCCGCCCTGACGCGGCGCATCTGCGTCACTCGCCAATGCTTTGGGGCCCGCGCGAGTGGGCGACTTGTCGCCCTCGCCCAGGGCATTCCAGCGCGGGCGCGGCGCATGGCTCGTTCGCCGAAGCGCACGGCAACGGCAGCGGCAGCGGGGCCGCGCGAGAGCGGGCGACATCGACCTCGCCCAGGCGCCAGCGCCGCGTGTGAGCGGCACCGCCGTGTCCGTGTGCAGGTGTTGCCGCTGCCGCCCCCGCGCGGCCCGCGAAGTTTTCTCATCGCCAGGTCGTCAGAAGCGGGGCCGCGCGCGCGAATACCTTTCGCGCAGGTGGCAGCGCGTTCCAATCCAAAGATCCGGCGGCGAGCGAGAGGGGGAAGCGAGAAGGAGAAGGCCTTCTCAGAAGACCGCGGGACTTCCCAAATCTCCTCGCGCCCCCCCAGAAGTGTCTGTTGTGTCTTCGGGGGAGGCTCAGAAAGCTGTTCGGAAGGCTTGGAAATTCCGAGCCTTCTGAGGAGGCCCGCCCCCTCTGCCTCCCTGTGTTGGGCGCGAAGTAATGGGGGGCGATCAATGGAGGGGGGAAGAAAAGTGCCCTCCTAAGGCCCGAAAGGCCCCCTGCGGGGGGCCCTGAAGGGCCCCTGCCAGGGACCCTAAAGGGCCCACTTTCCGCAACCTTCGCTGCTCCCCCATTGACCGCTTTCCGAGAAGGCCTTCTCCTTCTCTCTTTCCCCCCTCGCCCGCTGCCGAAAGATCCACTCGTGCCGCACTTGGCTCGCATGCTGCGGGCGAGAGATGGTGTGAGCAGGCGGGGCCTTCTGGCTCCCTCGACCCGGCTAGGCTGACCTCCCCCACCCCCACTCCCTCCCTCCCTCCTTCCCCCCCCCTCGCCCCCTCCCAACGACGGCGACGGCGTTGACGACAGTGACGACGACGACGATGACGACGACGATGACGACGACCAAGACGGCGATGACGAAGGACGACAGCGACGGCGACGGCGACGGCGCTGACGACGGCGACGGCGACGACGCAGGCGCTGATGACGGCGGCGACGGCGACGGCAACGGTGAAGGCGACGACGACGGCGATGACGACAGCGGCGGCGACGGCGACGACGGCGGCGCTGACAACGATGGCGGTGTTGACGACGCCGCCGCCGCCGCCGCCGACCGGAGCGCGGCGGTGCTGCGGTGCCCGCCCGCGGCCACAAGGCGGACGCCGACGCCACGGGGCCGGGAGGCCTGACCGCACTGCACCTCGCCTGCCGCGACAATTCCGCGGAGGTGGTGCAGGCGCCGCCCCCTCGCGGGCGTCGACGTCGAGGGCCGAGATGTCCCCAGACTCCAGACCCCCTCGCACTGTGGGAAAATCACGACGGCAGGTTTTTCGCTACTTTCGGCCTCCTGGGGGCTCTCACCAAGCCTAGGGACCGTCGAAAAACGATTCTGGATGCAAAACAAGTCCCGGGGGAAGGGTCCGGACCTCCTGGGGGTCGCGTCATGAAGAAATCATGACGTCGGGGGTCTGGGTCTGGGCGTCCCTGATCCTCGCTGCGCATGGCATGGCAGGCTGTGCAAGTACAGTAGGCTCATGCGACGTTGGCGCGCCCACGACGCCAGCGAAGGCGCTCAAGGACCCAAGGTTGCATTCTGCGGCGCGGAGGGAAGCACCGAGGGACGTGGTAACGCCACTCGACCCGAGGAAATTCGACCCTGAAGATCGGGGCTGCGATCGATTCAAGGTTGAACGATCGGCGCGGTGCCAAAAACCTTGACGCGCGCCGACGCCGCACGAACCTACCGTATTCCATGGCACGCTCCCCAACTGGTGCCGTCGTCGTCGTCGTGCTGGTGGACGTCGCCGCCGCTCCAGCGTGCTCTGCACTGACGTTGTGTAGCGCAGAAGGGCGCGGGGCTAGGATTAAGTCAGGCCCGTCCCTCTACAGGAGGAATATTCAAAAATAGTCAAACAATAGTCTGGGGGCTATTTTTAAGTATTTTTGACAGTTTGGGGAGTATTTTTTTGACTATTTGTAAGTTTTCGCCCACAATCCCCCTGTAGGGGGACAGGCCCGACCTAAGGCTAGGAGACCGACGACGACGGCGCACGATTGCCGGCGGCGCGCAGAGGTGGGTGGAGCCACAGTCTTGCTTCTCGGCTGGGAGCTGCCCTGCCGAGGCTTTTCACAGTACAGTTGAGATGTGGAGGACTATGAATGGAGAGGAAGCGTGTTGCGACATAAATTCCAGATGTCTAGAACATGTGTTAAACATGGTTTAAGCATGTAAAAAGACATGTCTAGAACATGTTCCTACATTTCAAACACATGTTAAATTCAATGATGGTACTGTTAGGGTGTCCATTGTCGTGGCATCCACAAGAGTTGAGCACATTATTAAGAAGGCTCGTCCCGAAGAGCTGGGCCAGCGCTGCTTAACCAACTTACCGGAAAGCTTGCTTGGTTTCTTGAGCACGTTCGCCTCTGCAGCAGTAACCAGAGAGTTGGCCTAGGATTGTGTTCGGTAAGCTGCCAGGAAGCCAGCCCAGGTTCCTTACATTAGAATGTGTTCTATCATCTCTTCGGCTGTAGATGCCGCCCCAGAGTGGAGAGGTTTGGCCTCAATTGGGGGGCGCGGAATGGGCTGGGCGACAAATTGGTGGCAGCGGGTGCTGCGGAAAGTGGGCCCTTTACGGTCTCTAGCAGGGGCCCTTCAGGGCCCCCCGCAAGGGGCCTTCAGGGCCCGAGTTGGTACCTTTCTACCCCCCTCCACTGATCGCCCCTCATTACTTCGCGTCCAGCTCAAGGAGGCAGAGGGGGCGGGCCTCCTCAGAAGGCTCTGATGTCCCCCAGCCTTCTGAGAAGTTTTCTGAGCTTTCCCCGAAGACACCGCGAACTTTCGAAGGAGGACAACCGTTCGAAGATCTTGAAGCGTGCCAAAACACGATCCTCATGACTTCAACGCCACGACTCAACCTGACTGGTACGTGTTGGCGATCCTGAATCGTGCCAGAGCACTATCCCTGGGACTTCAACACAGCGAATCAGCGTAACGATTTCGCCCTGACAGTCCTGAACCGCTCCAAAGCATCATTTCGGTCTGAGATTAAGTGGGACGCTTGCAAATGTTTCAAACGAGTGCGCGTGGTGTTAAGGCGCGAGTCACATTTTGAAAACGAGCCGCCTTCAATCCGTGAAGCTGTTGCACATGTTTAAAACCAACGTGCATGGCGCTGAGGCAAGAACTACATTCTGAAAACGGACAGCTTTCTATCCGTGGAGTTCTTGCTAGTTTTAAGACGAATGTGTTCGGTGCAAAGGCGAGAGCCACATGTTGAAAACGGCCCGGCCTCCATCTTCGAAATTCTTTCAACATTTCACAACGAATGTGCGCGGCGCTAAAGCGAGAGCCACAGTTTGAAAACCACCTGCCCTCAACAAATCCTTGCTGATGTTTAAAGCTAGTGTGCGCGGCGCTAATGGGATAGCGACATTTTGAAAACCACCCGCCCTCAACGAATGTGCGCGGCGCTGAGGCGAGAGTCACATGTTGGAAGTGGCCCGCCCTCCATCTGCGAAGCTGCTGTCACTTCTTAGCTTCAGGATCATGAAAAAGTGAGGAAGTCTCAGGCGAAACGCCTGGCCCGCCCGTTCGACCGGCACCGGGATGCGACAGGGAGGAGGTACATATAAGGAACAGGAATTAAGGAGGAGGTGGAGGAGGAAGAGGGGGAGGAGGAGGAGGACGAGGAGGACGAGGATTAGGAGGATGAGGAAGAGGAGGAAGAAGAGGAGGAGGAGGACGAGGAGGAGTACGAGGTGGAGGAGGAGGAAATTGAGCAAGCCCCTCGCAACCCGCGAGCAGGAAGAAACGCCCCCCCCCACCCCCGAGCCAGAGGGCACGCGGCCGCACCGACATCCGACGACGCGATTGTTCTCCCATGCGCGGCCCCGAGAGGACCTGCCCTCTGACCCCCAGAGGCAGTCTTTCGCCCCGGGCCCCTCTCGTCCCATGGCCCCAGAGCACGGCTACGGGCCCCAGGAGTCTGAACCCGAGGAGATACGCGCCAGGACCAGAAGCAGCGGCGACCACGACCACGACAACCACGACGACGACGACGACGACCTCGACGGCGACGACGACGACGACGACGACGCCGAGGACCACGACGGCGACGACGAAGACCACGTCGACGACAGCCATGGCCATGGCCACGGCCACGAGGAAAACGCGCCAGGACCAGAAGCAGCGGCGACCACGACCGCGACGACGACGACGACCACGACCATGACCACGACCACGACGGCGACGACGACGTCGAGGACCACAGCGACGACGAAGACCACGTCGATGACAACCATGGCCACGGCCTTGACCACGACCACGAACACGGCCACGACCACGGCAGCTTGCCGCCAAGGTTGCTGCCGCTGCCGCCCCGCTCTCTGGGGGGGGCCACAAGGTGCCGATACGGCTACCATCCCCGGACCCTCCTCTGGGGTGCATTCTGACCAGAATATCGAAGCGGATCCGGCGGTGGCGACGGGGGCCTCCCAGGAGGCCCAAGAAGGGGAAAGTTGAGGGAAGGTAGGGGTATGGGTACCTCTTCCTCCGAGCTCTCGGCGCGCGCGCAGCCGTATTCTCTCCCCCAGCGCTATCGGCCCGCACCGACGCCCTCGGCCCATTGCCGAGCAGCGGGGCGCGTCTCGAAGAGGCTGCCCGGGATGGCCAGCCTGACGGGGCGGCTCAAGGTCGTCGAGGTGCGTGGCCCCACGGGGGCCACCACCAGGCTCCCGCCATGAATCAGAAGGACAATTGTTGACGCTTCCCCACCAGCCCATCCAGAAACGATGCCCAGGAGAGCTGACGGGAGAAGGGAGCACGAGACGCACATAGTGAAACAGCGCGGGCAACAACGGTGAATTGGGAGATCTCTGGTAGCGAATGGTACGGGTGTTGCTGTGGGTGCTGTTGCTGCTGCTGGTGCTGCTGGTGGTGGTGTCTCTTGGGAGCCTATTGGAGGCGTCTTGGGCGCCTCTTGGGGCCGTCTGGGCGCCTTTGGGGGCCCTCTTGGGGCGCTCTTGGAGGGTTTAGGGGAGTTATCATTAGGGCCATCTTGGTGAAGATCCGGAGGACATCGATCAAAAACGAGGGGAGCTTCAATTAGCCTCGCCCCGCGGGAGCCCCAAAAATCGCCTCTTAGGGCGCTCTTGGGGCGCTCTTGGAGCGCTCTTGGGCGTTCATGGGGCCGTCTTGGAGCTCTCTTGGGCCTCTCTTGGAGCCCTCTTGGGCCATGGTGGGGCCATCTTGAGGCCTCGGATGGCCATCGCAAGCGGAAAGTCGATCAAGCAAACAACATTCATTTGTTCTAAGGTTTTGGGGAGATGTTGGCATCTTCGGGGCTTCCTTGGAGGTCTCGGAGGCTTCTTGGAGACGCCTTGGAGCGTTCTTAGGGCCTCTTGGAACATCTTGGGGGCCATCTTGAGCGATCTCGCGCTATCTTGATCCATTTCGGAGGTCGTCTTGGGCTCTCCGAGGCCCTCTTGGAGCCATCTTGGGCCATCTTGGACGCCCCGATCGCTCGCGCAACGCTCCGTCCAGGTCCGGGGGAGGGGGAGGGGGAGGGGTCAAGACGCCCTCCCCGCCCGCAAGCCGTCTCGCTCACTCCCACCCGCCCTCCCAACACTTACGTAGCACCCGAGCCTGGCCCGAGCCGCAGCATATGCAGCAGTCGTCTTTGAAAGGGCAGCTACTGGGGGCCAATCCGCCGCCGCCGCCTCCGCCGCCGCCGTCGCCCGCCGCCGCCGCCGCCGCCGCCCCCGCTGCCAAATCGCCGCCGCCGCAGCCGCTGCCGCCGCAGTCGCTGCCGCCACCGCTGCCGCCGCCGCCGCCGCCGCCGCCGCCCCCGCCGCCGCCACCCCCGCAGCCGCCGCAGCCGCTGCCCCCGCCGCAGCCGCCGCCGCCAAGACTACTCTGTATTGTTTTTTGACAGGGATGGTGGGGGGACGCCCCATCGGGTTCGCTGCGCATGTTTTGAATTTGGACACAGAGTGTGTGTTGTATTGTTTTTTTTACAAGGGATGGTGGGGGCAGAGTGTGTTTTATATTTTTTTACAAGGGATGGTGGGGGGACCGCATGGATTTGGGTTGGCTCCCAGTCGCCTGGGGGAGGGGGTGTATATTAGTAGGAATCTTCCTAGCCCCTTCCTCCCAACACGAGAACTGTCTCTCTCAACGAGTAGAAGGAGGAAGCACCACCCCGACCGCCATACAGTCGGACCGAGGTAAAGATCGACTTCGGCTGGCGGAGGGTGCCTTTCTGTTCTTCGTGCTTGTTGGATGTTATTGTGCATCCTGGGGGGGGGCCTCGAATGTTCTGCTTGTCTTGGCCGACGGAGGGTCTCATGTTCTTGAGTGATGTTCTTTTGACCTGGGTCCGATTACTGTTGGCGTTTGCAAAACGGCCCTGGGCGTTTATGAAGCAGCCCTGCCCTGTTCGCTTGGTGATTGTTTTCTTATTCGTTGTTTTGCCGATCGGCGCGGGCCCTCGGACCCTTCCCCCCCCATGGAGTAGATCTTGGCTGTTTGGGGCGCCTGTTTCGAGCAGGTGGAGTCTCCCCCACAGGATGCACTGCTGCAAGCAGTCGCATTAAGCAGAGGTCGGGAGCCAGACCCCCCCCCGTCACCCTCCCCCTCCTGCCCAATGCCGAAACGCCAATAAGAACACGTTCGCTCGTCGTGGTGCCCATCGCGAGGCGAGAGTGGTTGTTTTGCTCTGGGTCCCGAGGTCTTTCGCGCTCGCTGGCCTCCTTGGGCCCGCCCGGCGGGCCCTGGGGGGCTGGTCTTCGGCATACACAGTCGAGATGGAGACGGGAAGAATCATGGCATCGCTCGGACACGTGCGCTGCTCTTGGCGAGGACCCTCGAGGGGCCTTGTGGGTCACCTTGCGGAAGAATGCACCAGCACGGAGCCGGAAAAGGCACAGAGAGTGGACGTCCGAGCGCTGGCGAGGGACGGGGTCGGAGACTGGCTATAGCCCCTGCCCGTTTTGAGTAGGGCTCGCTGTTGGCGCCGCCGCGGGGGTTGCCCTTGGAGACCCTAGGCGCCTGCCCAGCGGCAACGGATGGTTCTAGACAACTGCTTTGGGGTACCGTATTCACACATCAATCAAAATCTCAAGAAGAAGCATCCCATTCCATGGACCTCAAATTTCGCTGTGAAGCCGACATTCTGGACTGGGACCCTGAGCGTTTCCTTTGAGCGTCTTTTCTGCGTGAGATTTCGGTACATGTGGACCTGGGCTACTGGTTGAGAGACCGCCTGGCGTGGGGTCCAGTTTCTTAGCGTCGAATGTTCCCAACTCTAAGCAGGAGTGTAAGTTCCAAACCCTCTAAGGCCGTGCAAGTGTCTGAAAAAGGACTTAGGGCGAAAACCTGCTCCTGGGGAGGGCCCCCGGTTACCGCAACACCTGTCGTCCAAAACCGAGGGCAGCCGTTGTTGGGCAGGCGACTTGTGGTCCCCACCGGCAACGACCGCGGCGACACCGACAGCGAGCCTTGTTCAACGTGGACAGGAATTGTTGTCAGTATTCGTCCCCGCTCTTTCCGTACCCGCTTCGGTCGTCCCGAAGACAATCCCGGGGCCCGTTGAGTGGTAAGGCTTCGGGTTATGCACAGGCAACCCCGCAGGTAGTTCCGGCTGGCCTCAACAGGGACACCGAGACGTCCCAGCTGACCTCAACAGGCCCCCCCTGGTAGCACGTGGCTGTCTCAGCACTCCACGCCTGGGGCGCGGCGCGCGCAGGGGCGCCGCCAGAGGCGACGCCAGGGTGTTGAGGCCGTTTGTGCGCCACCCGAAGCCTCACCATCGAGGAGGGCCCAGAGGGACTTCCAACCACGGGAGAAAAAATCGCAGGACCCGCTTCCCTCGGAGCCTGCTTGCCTCGAGCCAGAGGTTCGCGGTGCCGGAGCCCTGGGAGGCCATCGGCCCGCTCGGCGCTGGCGCCTACGCCTCCGTGGCCGCCTTCCGGGCCGGCCGCGGCGAGCGCTGCGCCGTGAAGAAGGTTTCGGGCTGCGGGCTCCTCCTCCTCCTCCTCCTCCTCCTCCTCCTCCTCCTCCTCCTCCTCCTTGGACGTTTTCGTCGGTTTCGGGCGCTAGTTCACAAGACTCTGTCGCTCCACAGTGAAGTATGGGCCACGTCTACATCGCAGAGCGGGAGAGGGTGGGAAGGGGCACGCCACTCTTTGACAAACACCTTGACCCGATGTATGGCCGAAGCGACCGCCGTGGCGACATGAATCAGACCCGGTGGTTTGGGTCGGGGTCGGAAATCACGCAACGAGGTTCTCGACGGTTTTTCAGCCTCGCGATGCTTTCCAGCAGCTGCGCCTCGCCGAGAGCGGTCCGGGGGTGCGCGGATCGTCCGGAACGGCCGCAGGGGAGCCGAGCTACCCGAAAACGAGGGGCAGCGTTAGGGGGGGATAGGCTTAGGGGGGGATGCATCGACCCCCAATCGCCCACTCAACGCCGACAGGGGCTCGGCAGCCCATCCCGCCCAGCACGGTTCGGATTCGCCATCGGGAGCACATCGCCGATCCATCGGCGATGCATCGCCACCTAAAGTTCTATGCTTCCCCTGCTGACCTGGCTCCCCCCGTGTCGTTCCCCCCCCCGAGGTCGAGAGGGTGCTCGGCCACCCCGTGGTGGCGCTCAGGACCCTTCGGGAAGTGAAGCTGCTGCAGCACCTCCGCCACCCGAACATCCTCGGCCTCCACGGGCTCCACGTGGACGGCCCCGACTTCACGGACACGTACCTCTGCCTCGAGCTGATGGACATCGAAACAAAGCAAACATTCACGACCAGACACTTTCGGAGCGCCGCGCGGATTTCTCGCAGCGGCGCTGGGCCCTCCTGGGCAGCACCTCTGGCACCGCCCCTGTCGCGCTCTGCGCGCCAGGGGGCCCAGCGCTAATCCAAGACATCCGGGCGGATCTCTGGCAGTCACCGAGCGCGTCCCACTACTTGCACAGTGCCTACTCGCAAACGTGAGAAAAACACGTGTCTGCCCTGACGTGATTTATCGTAGATCCCCCGCGGGGGATCCAGGCCATTTGCGAGTAGTTCCCATCGGTCGTTGAAAGTCAGTTTTTTGGGATTCCCAGAGCCCAATCTACTTCAAGCGCCTTCCTACTTCAAGAGTCGATCTGCTTTTGCTGCGTGTTGTTGCTCTCTGGGCGGGCCCGGACCGAACCTACTCTATCCGCCTTCCTGCTTCATGTTTCCGCCTACCTCTTCCGACCGCTGGGCACCTCGCGAGCAGGCGAACGCGCTCGTCCAGACGGGTCTCGCTTGTGTCTGGTTTTGGCTCCTCCCTTGGTATCGCTCGGACGTGTGCATTTTTCCTTCGGCGAGGACCATCGAGGAGCATCTTTGATCATTTGGCGAAAAAACCACGCACGAAACCGAAAAAAACACAGGGAATGGACGTCCGAGCGATGGCCAGCTCCAGGACAGCGACCTGCACAAGCTGATCCACGGGGGGCCCGCTCTGCCCAGCTGCCAGGCTTGAGTCGGGCCTGTCCCTCCACCGGGGAATCTGCAAACATGGTAAAGAAATAGTCGGTGGATGATTTTGTTGACTATTTTCGAGGATTTGGGGAGCATGCTTGTGGGGATTTGTTTGATGTTTCGCCCAAACTCTCCCTGTCGGGGGACAGGCCCGACCTAATGCCAGGCGAAGAGCATCATGTACCAGATGATGCTGGGCCTGCTGTGCCTCCGCACAGCGAACGTCGTACACAGGGACATGAAGCCTGGCAACGTGCTCGTCAAGGCGAACGGTATCGCTAAGATCGCCGATTTCGGACTCGCCCGCGCCATCGACGCCGGAGAGGACGACAGCGTCGAGGAAGTCCTGACGGAGTACGTGGTGACCCGCTACTACAGGGCCCCAGAGATCGTGCTCACGGCGACGAGCTACACCTACGCCGTGGACATGTGGTCCGCCGGATGCATCCTCGGGGAAATGCTCACGTCGAAGACGGTGTTCCGGGGCAAGGACACGCTGGATCAGGTCAGGAAGATCGTGGGCGTCATCGGTAGCCAGCCCACAGAAGAGATGGATTGGATCCCGAGGGCGAGCCCATCCTGGAAATTCGTCCAGGAGTGCAACAGCAAGTCCACCAGCGAGGCCTTCCAGAAGGTTCTGCACACCCTCGGCTTGGAGACCGACGCCGCGGACCTGCTCGTGCAGACCCTGCGGTTCAGCCCATCCAGGAGGATCCAGGTCGAGGACGCCGTGTTGCACCCCTACCTCGAGTCCTTCAGCGCGGACACCGACCCCAACGTCGTGGCGGCCCTCGACGTGCCGCCGATGGATTTCAGGGGTAACGTTAGGGGGGATAGGCTCGGGGGAGATGCATCGACCCCCAATCGCCCATTGATTGTCGACTGGAGCCCGACAGCCCCCCCGCCAGGCGGTGCGGAGTCGCCATCGAAAGCCTATCGCCAATCTATCGGCGCCGTATCGCCGATGCCAGGCCGACGTTTCCCCCTGATCCAGTCGGCGGCGAGCGAGGGGGGGAAATGAGAAGGAGAAGGCCTTCTCAGACGGCTGCGGGACTTCTCAGAAGCCCTCGCGCCTTCTGAGAGGTTTTTTTGTGTCTTCGGGGACGGCTCCGAAAACTTCTCAGAAGGCTGGGGGACTTCCGAGCCTTCTTGGAAGGCCTTCTCCTTCTTACTTCCCCGCCTTGCTCGCCGCCGAGTCCCGCGATCTCGATGGTGTTCGGGCCATCACTCGGGCCTCCAGCGGCCGCTCGGGACGATCAGGGCACCCCCGGAGCGCTTTCGGCGAAGCGCGGCTGCTGGAGATACCCCCCAGGCTGGACAGCCGCCGAGTACCGCCGAAAACTTCCGATAACCCCAGGCCTCGAACCTCAGACCCAGAACGTCACCCTTGCTCGTTGCCCGTCCTCCTCCTCCTCCTCCTCCTCCTCCTCCTCCTCCTCCTCTGCCCCCTCCTCTGCCCCCTCCTCTTCCTCCTCCTCCTCCTCCTCCTCCTCCTCCTCCTCGTCCTCGTCGTCCTCGTTCTCTGCCTCAGGACTGGGACTTCGATGGGGACCTCTGCTTCGACGCGCATGGGAAACCGAGGCCCTACGACGCGGGGCGCTTCCGGCGCGCGCTGCTGGACTGCTGCGGCGCGGGCGCTCCGCTTGCCGCGGGGCCCCGCTCGGCTGCAGCGCCTGCCACGGCGGCTGCGGCGGCGGGCTCGGCCAAGCTGGGCATTTCAGCGGCGAAGGTCGACGAAGAAGAGGGTGCAGAAACATGGTCTACAGTCGGCCCGGAGTAGGTCGACCCTGCCAAATCAAGGATACCCTTGTGTTCTGTGTCTCGCGGCCCATGCCTCCGACATTCCTGTGGCAATGTGGCCCTCGAAAAGGGTCTTGTGTCCTCTCGCGCGTTCTGTCCAATCGAGTCCGACTGTAGAAGCCCCGAGTTATCAGGGCAGCTTCGGGCGTTGCCAATTCGGGGGGTGGAGGGCTACAAGTAGGTGCCAAGGGGGGGTGAGATCTGGCCAAGCCTGGATCATATAGGTGGGCTGCACGTGTCCTCAGTGGCTTGGGTGGGCTCGCTAAGTCCGCTAAGTGTACGAAGCCGACTTAGCCCAGATCCTTACCCCCCTAAGCCATATAGGGCATTCCGATCCCACTCATAAGATAGGTTCGACCATGTATAAGCCACCTTTGCATCCACTGATAACCCTTCCCTTAGCAGCCACCGCGGTGATCCAAGAGGGTGCGGTCAGGGATAACTCCTGACTCGGTCCTCCCATTTTCGCGCTGGGGTTGTCCCAAATTGTACTCGATTCGAGATCTCCCGGATCACAGTCTACCCCGCGTAGATACCGTCCAGTATTCCCCTGAAGCAGGAGTTCTTCCAGCTCAAGCGGTTCCAGAGTTTACCCGGATCGCATGTGAGGACACCAAACAGGGCCTCACCTGGACCAGGTCTATCTCCGATAATTCGGCTGCCCTAATAATCTGGCGTCGCTGGGACGTGTGGATTGTTTCCTCGGCGAGGACCCTCGAGGAGCATCCTGGATCATCTGGCCCCCGAAAAAGACCCGCACGGAAACGAAAAGTGCATGGGAATGGACGCCCGAGCGGTGGCAAGATAATTCCTCGGAGGCCCGCGCGGATCTCTTGGAGCGGCGTTGGACGCCCCCTGGCGGCGCCTCCGGCGCCGCCCTTGGCGTGCGCTTCGCGCCCAGCGCCGACCCGCCAGAGACAACCGCGCGGTCCTCCGAAAAAGGTTACGTCTTGGCAGTTTTGTTTCATCCCTCCAGAAGGACCTCGAGAGCCCGGGGGCGGCGATAGTCCGTGACGCGAGGCGCCGTTGGGGGGGCAAGTAGTAGGCCCAGGGGGCATAGGCCCAGGGATCCCGGGGAGGAGCAAGATGCCATTGCCGCGGCGCTGCCCTCGTCACCACGGCTGGATTCTCGAGTAGCCCGCGCACTCCGTGCTGATGCGCGGCAGAGACTGACCAGTACCGTAAATGACAGCAGCATCCCAAATGCGAACAAGCACCGGTTGGATTCGCCTTGAGGTCCTGGTCAGAACGCACCCCAGTGAGGTCCGTGGAGTACGGTGGGGGGTTCGCCCAGGAGCGTGCCCAGCAGGCTTCGGGCACTGGAGGATTCCTGATCGAATGCGGGCGGCGGTGGTACCCGTTGCCAATCCACGTCTGGGGTTCCACCGGCCTCCAGAACCTGGATCCCTTACAGTCGAAACCGTGCTCTCACCGTGGCGGTTTTGGTATCGTGCTCTTCCTCCCCGGGGAGGCTCGGCGGCGAGCGAGGGGGGGCAGTGAGAAGGGGAAGGCCTTCTCAGAAGGCGGCGGGACTTCTCAGAAGCCTTCGCGCCTTCCGAGGAGCTTTCTGCGTCTCTGGGAAAGGTTTAGACAACTTCTCAGAAGGCTGGGGAACTTCGAGCCTCCTGAGAATGCTTTCTCTTTCTCATTTTTCCCCCTCGCTCGTCGCCGAGACGCGGTGGTGGCACAGGCTCGGTGCCAAGCTGTGCGCACTGGCGTACACGTGTGCATGGCCAGAGGTAGGTTACATCGATTGCGGAGTGGACAGCGCCCCAGGACAGGGAAGTATTTCACTCAATTGTCGTGTAGGCTTAAGTCGGGCATGTCCCTCTACAGGAGAAATATTATTATCATTATTTGTTGGGTTTAAATCTTCTGGGAACGATTTCAACTAATTTGAATTATTGTGGAGTGTATTACTATTTTCAATGCTTCGCCCAAGATCCGCCTGTAGGAGGACATGCCCGACCTAAGGCACGGCATGTGATCAAGCAGTGGCGACGCGTCTTGGCTTGCCGATCGGCCCACCAAGGAATGCTAGAATAAGTTGCTTGGTGGTTTGCACGAGATGTTCTCAGAACGTGTATGGCCTGGCCGAGACTGCCCTGTTTGAGTACGTCGGGCTTCTGTTAAGAGAACATTACTTGTCTTCTTGGAACTCTGTGGGATTCCAAGACTGTCGTGGTAGGCCTGTAGGCCTGCCGGGACGGTCGGCCCCTGCTCAATGTGAGCTGCGGCGCGGCGGACACGCTGCAGCGAGTGGCCGCCAAATTCGTGATCGGCGGCGCGCCGAGGGGGGATCCGAAGAGCAGAGCTCGAGGGGGGAAAAAACACCCGGACCGGACAACTGGCGCTTATTGTACGGCCTTGGGCGTTTACTGAGCAGCCCCTGACCTGTTCGATCTCTTCTGTGGGCGCGTGTACTGAACGAGTTCGCGGGTCGGGGAGGTCATCACGGGGGTGGATTCTTGAATTTCTAAGAGACGGGCACGAACAGTGAACCTTCGGAGGGCCGCATGGCGCTTCCGTGCATCGGCGCTGTAGTGTCACTGAGGATCAGCTTCATCGGGATCGGCACAGCCTGCTGGGTCTCGTTGAGTCCCATGCGGCCGAGCCCCTCCATCTCCTCCTTCGGTACCTTCTCGCTGGACTTCTGGCGCTGGGCGGCGCGCTTGCGCGCGGGCTCGTCTCTGGCAGCGGCCTGTCCTCGGCCTCCTGCTCCTCCGTTGGCGGCGGCCCTGGCGCCGCCCCTGGTCGACCAACACCACCCCACCTGCGACCTACGGCCCCCCGTGCTGCGCTGCGGCCCGGCGGGAGCCGTAGCGCATGCCGCGCCAAGGCCCACGCCAGAGTTGTTGGTACACGATGAGCCCCGTGGGGCCGTAGGCCGGGTGGGGTCGTTGAGGAGGAGGAGGAGGAGGAGGAGGAGGAGGAGGAGGAGGCGGAGGGATTGGGAGGGAGGAGGGAGGAGGAGGAGGAGGAGGAGGAGGAGGAGGAGGAGGAGGAGGAGGAGGAGGAGGAGGAGGAGGAGCCCAGAAGTCCGCGTGGAGCTCCGAAAGTGTGTGCGCAGTCGTCCGGAGAGGGGTCGGTCCTCCTCGGAGGGCGGCGGGGCTTCTCGCGGAAGGCACCCCCCATGGCCTCCCCAGAAGCCCTCCCGTGGCTTCGGAGAAGGCCCAGGAAGCTTGTCAGAAGTCAGGAGGGAAAAAAACACACAGACACAATTAATCGTCGCCTCCCAGGAAAATATGGAAAATATGGGAAGTGGGGGGGGGGAGACAGAAACCCAGAAAATATAGGAAAATATGGGGAATCTTTTTATTTGTGTGTATTTTTGTGTGTCCCAGTTTCCCTTCAAGAAGGACGAAGGCCGTCTGAGTCGGGGCTCAAGAGGCGGGGGTCAGAGCAAGCGGGGGTCAGCCAGAGCGCCGGACCTTGCAGGATCCTGCAGAGCCAGGGCTGCGCTGACCTGGGCTACCGTGCAGGATCCTGCAGGATCCTTCAGGGCCCGATTGGCCCTGGTTTGGATTGACCTGTGCCAGTGCGTTCCCGATCAGAAAGCTGCCCAGAAGACTGGAGGCCGTTGGAGCCTTCCGAGATGACCCGCACACTCCGCTTGCCACCTGGGTGCGCGTCCGACTTTGCACTTGTGCACGTTGCTGCGGGCCGTACGACGCAAGGCGGGCCCTCGTCAAGACAGAGAGGATGTTGAGCCGTTGACGCGGGAGACGCGCTCTTTCATGCCGAGGGGCATGGGAGACGACGCCTGAGCGCGACGGGCGTCGTCTAGGGCGATGAGCCCAGAGCCCAAAACTCGGCCCCTTCAGTTAATCGCGCTATGCTGCGCGGCGCTGAGCCAGCAGACTCCAGCAAGCCGCCCCAAGTGTTTTTTGCGGCCGGCTTGGGGTCATCAGGCCTCCTGCGCACGTGCAGCAGCAAGCGAGGCCGAGGCAGGCTATTTCAGGCAGAGTTCAAGCGCTTTCGGCCGAATTGGCTGCGTGATCACCTGCCGTAGACGAGAGAGAGAGGGGGGAGAGAGAGAGAGAGAGAGACTCTTTCTCTCTCCTCTCTCTCCTCCTCCTCCTCCTCCTCCTCCTCCTCCTCCTCCTCCTCCTCCTCCTCCTACCTTGAGAGAGAGAAAGAGAGAAAAATAACAAAAAAAAGAGAGAGAGAGAGAGAAAAAGAGAGAGAGAGAGAGAGACAGAGAGAGAGAGAGACAAAGAGCACGTCGGCCTCGACCCCCCGCCATCGCTGCAGGGACGAGCCGGGCCACACTGCTCCCTGCCGCGTCCCCGCCGCGGGGCCGCCGACAAAGGCCCCCGACCGAGGCCAGCCAGGCAGATCTCGCCGAGCACACGCTCTGAGCTTCAGATCCTCGACCGTCACCCTCAGGTCCTCGATCCCCCTTCCTGCTCCTTCATCCTCCTTTTGAGCATCTCGAAGGAGAGCCAACCAAAAACATAATCACAAACTGTTGGCGCTCCGCGCGGATTTCTCGGATCCGCGCCTGGGCCCCCCTGGCGGCGCCTTCGACGCCGCCCCCGGCGCGCTCCGCGCGCCAGGGAGGGGGGTCCAGGCGCATACCCAAGACATCCGCGCGGAGCGTCAAAAGTTTATGTTTATGTGGCTTTCGCTTCTTCTATCATCGGCCCCTCCCTCCCGGCGCCCTATCCAGGGGCCCTGTAGGTCGCCTCCCTTCTCGGCCCGAGGTCCTTTCAATACCAAGAGGTGGGATTTTCGCCCGAGGTGAGGTCTGGGAGCGAACTCGGCTTGAGGCCGTCCAGAACGACGTCCCCCATTGTTCGAGTAGAGGATCGACTACAGAATTTGTTTACCCCCAAATTCATTCTCCCCATCGAATTTACGACAAATGCGTAGGGTGTTCGCACATCGATTTGGAACTCGAAGCATGTATCCGTGGATCCGACGAGGAAACCAGGCCTGGGGCAAATCAATTCTGCAGCCGATCCCCTGCTCGAATGTCGTTCCTCCCTTCCCCGCCCCTGGCCTCGGCGGGCCTCTTGGACTGCTGCCTTCGGGGGCGGCCCGTGCGCGGGCGGAGGAGGGGGGGAGGACGAGGGAGGACGAGGGAGGACGAGGGGGGTCGAGGGAGGACGAGGGAGGACAGGGGAGGACGAGGGAGGACGGGGGAGGACGGGGGACGAGGGAGGACGAGGGAGGACGGGGGAGGACGAGGGAGGACGAGGGAGGAGGCGGGAAGACGAGGGAGGAGGCGGGGCGAGGGAGGGCGAGGGAGGATGGGGGAGGAAGGGAGAGGACGAGGGAGGACGGGGGACGAGGGAGGACGAGGGAGGACGAGGGGGGGGAGGCGGAGGAGGGGGGAGGACGAGGCGGGACGAGGCTGCGCGCTGCTGGGCGTGCCCGTGGCCCGAGAGGTGCCCCCCCCCCAGGATTGCCGAGGAGGCGTCCACGGCCTCCAGCGCACCCAATTTGTCCGTCGAGATTTTTCGAGCCAACTCCTCCTCCTCCTCCTCCTCCTCCTCCTCCTCCTCCTCCTCCTCCTCCTCCTCCTCCTCCTCCTCCTCCTCCTCCTCCTCCTCTCCGTAGCCTTGGCTCAAGCCAATTCTGGCTTCCATTCACACTCCCTTGACGACGTTTGGACACCCATCCTACAGTCGTTGTCATTCCGTGTTGGAGGCCAGTATGTGCTGGCGGTCAGCGGCGCTTTCTCGGCATGGATTACAGCAGTGGAGGAGATGCATCTGGACGAGCAGGTAGGCGCAGGCCCATCCAGGGCCAGAGGACCGACCATGTCAGTGCATCCAGTGCGGCAGTCGACTCATTTTCGGGACATGCCCTTCCAGGATGCCATCGCGAATTGGTGGGAGCGCATCTCGGTTGTTGTCGGCAAGGTCGCCAAACATGTTAAGCGTGATAACGGAAAACCCCAAGTTCAAGTGCTGTGTGAAGCAGCTCGTAAGTTAGCAGGCCACTTCCCCGATGGTGTTCAGAAGATGATTGGCACGCACAAGGATGCGACGTCATGGCCCCTGTGGGTGTCAGTGTTACAGAGTCTCCATGAGATCCCTTTGGCGCAGCTCGAGTTGTTCACCAAAGAAGCCGCCCGTATTGCTTGCAGGGCTCGGTCTCGAGCACTTTCGGCGTCGTTCGCGGACTTCAAGCAGTGGATTCAGCAGAATGAGTTTACAGGAGGGCTCTTTCGAGCCACCAAGGAGCAGCCGAATAGGAGTCATAGTGTGGTCGTGAACGGCGAGACGGTATGCCATCCCAAGGATGTGGTGGAGCACCGTGCAGAGAAGTATCACAAGCTATGGACATCTCTTGATATGACATGCAGTCATGCTGTGAAGTTGTTCGAGACCATCCACGCGCGGGCCCGAGAAGAACCTTTGGATCCTCTTTCTTTAGAAGATATTCGTCGTGCACTGAAGGTGATGAAGGCGCGCGCGGGGATGGGATTGGATCGTTTATCTCCCATCGATCTGGAGAGGCTGCCGGATGCCGCGCTGACTGGATTAGCTCAATTATACAACATGTTTGAGGATTGTCAGACATGGCCTTGGCAGCTCATGGGGGTCGTGGGTAAGTTATTAGCCAAGAAGACCGTAGGCCAGTTTCGCGTCATAGGATTGATCTGCATGATTTGCAGGGTGTGGAGTCTGGCACGCGAACCAGTAGTACAGAGGTGGGCTACCTCCTCTCAGCCCGACTGGGATGCTGCGGTGAAGGGCAACAGCGCCCTCCGCGAGGCGTACATGAAGGCGTTGAACGAAGAGCTGTACACTAGGCTCAAGATGGCCAACGGTCACGCATTGATGGATAGTCAGAGCTATTATGACATGATGGAGTGGGATGTTCTTGTCAGGGGTGCCTTTCGGTACGGGTTCCCAGCAGTAATGTTAGGATTGGAACTTCAGATATGTGCAAGCCCGAGGATGCTAGACCAAGGTGACGCGGTGTCGCTCCCCTTCCAGGCCACTCGGAGCATCGTGCAAGGGCTCCGCAGTGGCACGCTCTTTGCGCGGTGCGTCACCAGCCTGGTCATGGAGCGCTTGACGGTCATGCATCCTGGACTTTCGGAGCGTTTGTGGATCGATGATCTTTCGCAGTCGGCAGTTGGCTCTGGAGCTCATGTGCGACAGGCGCTGATCGACGATGTCAAGCTCACGCTGGCCAACAAGAGCACGGTGTCTTGTTCTTCTATGGCGGATGCTCGTGCTGTGGTCAGGGCTTTGAAGAAGCGTGGCATCGAGATCCAATGTGCCAAGCAGATGGCCTACCTGGGGGTCGATCTCTCGTGTGGGCGTCGGCATGGTCGGGCTACTAGGCAGAAGCGCATGCGGGACACGAAGAAGCAGCATTTCACCATCAAGAGGTTTGCGGCTTCGTCTCGACGGTTTCGTATTTTGAAGAAGGTGGAGTTGGCGGGGCCACAGGCAGGTGCGCGGCACGGCCGCCAGGTGCTGGGCTTGCCGCAGGCCTCGCTGGTGCAGTTGCGCCGACGACTGGGCGGAGTTTCTGGTCATAGGCGCGGTCGTTGCCTCACGACCCTGCTCGACATTCGAGCGCCTGGAGCAGATCCAGGGTATGCTCTTCCTCGTCAATGTGTAGAGCAGTGGTTCAAGTGCTGGTTGGATTCCCCGCAGATGAGGCACTCCGTGGGCCTGGTGTGGCAGGATCTGGCGCAGCAGTTTACTTCCACCTTGCCGTCCAATCGGGCTCGCCACGTTCGGGGTCCACTGTCAGATCTTATTCACTATATGTTGGGAGCCGAGTGGGAGTTGCGATCCCCCACGGAGTGGTATCCTCCGACGGGCCCTGATGGACTCCAGCACGGATGGAACTTCGGCTCGCAGGCCTTCGAAGCGTTCGACCAGGCAGGCGAGCTGATCGATGCCTTTGCTGGCACCCTCCAACAGCAACTTTGGCTGGAGGCCTCCAAGGGCTTCTGCGGGGACGGCATGGAGCGAGGGGTGGACAACTTCTCGCTGCGGCGCTACCTTTACCAGCTGGAGCAGGCCCCCGAGTGCGGTCGGAAGTTGTCGGAACTCATGGTGTGCATTGCAGTGGGCGGGGCCTGGCCCGCGGCGCGCAAAAACGCACAAGGGCATGATATCCCAGCCGAGTGCCGTAGGTGTAGGGGAGGCCCTGAGACGCCCAAGCATAGATTTTGGCAGTGCGAGTGTAATCGGGACTCCAGAGCCTTTGAAGCCTCAGAGGATCTCATTCCCCGTGCTCTGGCTGAGTCTGATAGTCTCGAGTGTTATTGGCTTAGGGGGCTCATCCCGTCTCACATGCTTGAGGTTTCCCCGCCTCCCGACGAGGAGATTTGGATTAGCAGTCACCCCAATGAGGAGTTCGATGGGGAGTTTTTTGGTTGCGGCACTCCTGACATGCCCCTACTCGCGTGGGGAGATGCGTCGGGGGGCGCCGACACCCATTATCCCAGGTTGCGTAGGATCGGGGTCGGTCCTAATTAAGTTGTGGGGGGGCGGGGCCCCTAAGTGGGTGTGTGTGTGCGTGCGTCAGCGGCGAGCGGCGCGCCCGCGCGCGGCCGCCCCCGACAACGGCTTCCTCACGCAGGACAGCCCACGCACCCGCGCCGCCCGTCCTCCCCCTCGTTTTTCGGATTCGCTTCGCGATCGTTCCTCCTCCTCCTCCTCCCCCTCCTCCTCCATCGTCCTCCTTCTCCTCCTCTTCCTCTTCCTCCTCCTTCTCCTCCTTCTTCTCCTCCTCCTCCTCCTCTTCCTCCTCTATCCTCCTCCTCCGCCTCCTCCTCCTCCTCCGCCTGTAGGGGGACATGCCCGACCTTAAGCCAATATGTCCGTCGAGATGTTTCGAGCCATCTGGCCCAGAAGTAATCCTGTGTTGCTCTTAGCTTTCGCTGCTTCGCTATCTGGGAAGCTCCACGAGTCACCCTCCCCGCCCTGGACTTAGTCCGAGGGTCGCTCGCCCCGGGCCCTCATCCTGGGGCAGCTTCGCGTCCCTCCTCTACTCACGAGCCCCAGGGGGCCCCACTGGGCCCCAGAATTGGGCGAAGAGCTTGGGGCACCTTGGGCCAGGGGAACCTGCAATCAGCAGCAGCCGACGAGGGAGGATGAGGGAGGAGGGAGCTCGCGCCAACCACAATTGACCGAGAGGCGCGCGCATCTCGCGTTCCGACCACAGCCCCTCGAAGCGAGGAGGGTCAAGGAGGAGGGACAGGAGGGAAAGAAGGAGGAGGATAAGGAGGAGGAGGAGGAGGAGGAGGAGGAGGAGGAGGGAGCAGGAGGAGGAGGGAGCAAGAGGGGGGCAGGAGGTGCATACACGTAGGTGGCAAGGGTAGGAGGGGGGAGGAGGAGGAGGAGGAGGAGGAGGAGGAGGAGGAGGAGGAGGAGGAGGAGGAGGAGGAAGAGGAGGACGAGCAGGAGGAGGAGGAGGAGGAGGAGGAGGAGGAGGCGAGGTGGCAGGAGCAGGATGAAGAGGACAAGACGGAGGAGGAGGAGGGAAGGGGGAGGGAAGACGAGGGGGGGCAGGGTTCATTGCGATTCCTCCGATTCGATTCGATTCGATTTCGATGGATTCCGATTCCGATTCGACTCGATTTCGGATTCCGATGTTGGATTCGACGTTTCAATTGGAGCCTACTAGCCTGCCAATGTCTGCAGTTTCGACTTTTCCCGACTCAGTTGCCGATTGCCGCCGATCCGATACATTTTGTCCGTCTTCTCGGTTCGATTATGAGGCCTCGTGGGTGGGGGGCGGATGGGATGGTATGGGAAGACGGTGGAAAAAACGAGGAGGAGAGATGGGGAGTGGGCGGATGAGAGGGAGAGTGGCAGAGAGGGACAGAGCGATGGAGAGGATGAGGAAGAGGAGGAGGAGGAGGAGGAGGAGGAGGAGGAGGAGAAGGAGGAGGAGGAGGAGCAGAAAGAGGAGGAGATTGCCACCCATGCGCAAATCGGAGCGAGGGACGAGGTCACCTATTCGAAGCCAGTCGCACACGCGTTGGCTGGTTCGAGGCGCGCCTCTGTCGCTGCGGTCATCTTGGTCTTCTTCCTTGGTTGAGGATGTCGTATGCCCGTTAGGGTCCTGCCTTCGCCTTCGGGGTCTCGTAGGCCCTTTCGGAAGCCTCTTGGAGACCTCTTGGGCTGTCTTGGACGCCTCTACGGGCCTCGTCCGTCCTCGTCGGGTGGTGGACGAAGGCGTCGCCCCTTCAGGGAGCGTCTTGGATGCCACAAATGTATATTCCGAGAGCATTGGTTACACTTAGGGGTTCTCGTTTCACTTCGACGAAATGGGCCTGGCTGGCGTTCTGGCGGCTCTGTGCTCACCGTCGCCGCCCCGTCGCCGCCTCGTCGCCGCCCGTCGTCTGGCCCTGGGTGGCGTTCTGGCGGCTCCGTGCTCGCCGTCGCCGCCTCGTCGCCGCCCGTCGTCTGGGCCGTCGCCGCCCCGTCGCCGCCCCCTCCCCACCTAGATTGCACAACCTAGACTTAACCACATATATTGCACAACGTAGGCTGCCCCACATTGGATACACCGCACAGATTGCACCATGTCGATTGCATCACAAAAATTACACAACGCATGTTGCAACACACCTAATGCACTGCACACGTTCGCAACATACAGTGCGCAACGCATGTTGTTCCACGTAGATTGCACCACACCTATTGACCCACTATGGCTCGACATATTGCACGCCATAGAAGAGTGACCAACATAGACTGCACCACGTCGATTGCATTGCCTTGGTTGCGCAGCATGCGTTGCACCACATACACTGCGCCATTTATACGTATATGTGTATACGTATAGTTGTGCGTAAATACATAGGTGTATGTATATATGTATATATTCATGTATATGAAACCACGTCGATTGCAACACATATGGCGCACATCACATAGATTGTCGCACATCGTTTCTCGGCTCACATATTGCACAACATACCTAGCTTACCTTATATTGCACAACATGTATTGCACCACTCAGATTCTACGTTCTAGAAGAATAATAGGATCTCCCCCCATGCCTCGGGAATTAACGGCCCCCTTTCTCGCATTGCAACTTACATTCGATTTTGCCCCATCGTCCACCCCTAACATGAATTCATATCGTCTCAGGCAGCCAAATATCCGTCTCCTTCATCCTCTGCAAAAAGGTATGTGCCCACTCGTCGATCATAAAGCATCAGTTTTCAAGCATCCCTGGCACACAGAAATCGAAGTACACGCGCGCGCGACGTCGCGCGCGCATGCCGAAATCCTTCAGCAACCTTAGGTGTCGTAGGGAATGCAAAATCGGGTGGCCCGAACACATACAAGAACATATGGCTTCGCAACAAGATTATCAAAGCACAAAAACATCTTGCGCCCAGGCTCTTGCGAATTCGCAAGACAAACATATGTTTTTCAACATTTTCATAACTGGCTACCAATCTGGCCCCTCGCGCGCGCATGTCGGGATCGCTCGAACGCCCTTGCGCGAGTGTTGTCGCAATACTCTCTTGCAACAGACGGGACGAAGTGTACACGCGCGCGTCGTCGCGCGCATGCCGGAATCATTCAATCACTTGCGGTATCGTCCGTTTTTAAAAAAACAGTGCCCCGAACACACGTAAAACACCAGGGTTGTGCAACATCAGTTGCCAAAAATGCTTGCGCTCGCGCTCCTGCTGATTCTTAAAAACAAAAAACCATAGGTTTTTTTTTTCTTTCATAAATCTGCCAAACGTGCCCCTCGCGCCGCACGTCGAAATCATTCGATCGCCCTTTCGCACGTGTTGGGTGGCACGATCCGTGTCACATGTTGCCGTGCGGGCTACTCGCGCGTCGGCCGCGGGAGCATGTCGAACTCCCTCCAAAACCTTCATCGCCGACGCGAGGGCGCCATCATCGTCGTCGGCGTGATGGGCATCGGCGCCAGCATTGGCCTTGCTGTCGTCGCTGCCATCATCGTCATCAGCATCGCTACCACCATCATCGCCTCTACCGTTGTCGACGTTGCCATGATACCGCGCCCGCTCAAGTCGCCAACTCGCACTGAAGTGCCCGTTGGGGAAAGTGCCCAACGGTCAGCGCCACCGCGGCCGCGTCGCCAGCGCCAAACTATTTGGTCGCTGCGCGCGCGAGCATGCGCGGGCTAGCGCGGCCGCGTACATGCACCAGCCAACTCCGAGCACTCATCGCACTCGCCGTCGCAAGGGTTTTGCAAACCAAGTTGCGGGTGGCTGGGTGGGGTGATTGCGCGAGCAGTGGAGTGGACAGGTCACTGCAAACAGAAATTGGTTGCACCACGTAGAGTCCACCACCAGCTAGATTGCACAACGTATATTGGGCTGGCCTCCGGCCAGTGCCGCCGATCCAGGGGGGGTGAGACTTGGGGACGTCGTGGAGGTTTCTGGAACTGTCTTCGGGGCATCTTGGGCGGTTCGAGCGATGTTTCGGCGATTCTGGGCCCTCTTGCATTGTCCAGTGGGCCTCTGAGGCCTCTCTTGGCTTCCTCTTGGGCTGTCTTGGGCGGTCGGGACTCCGGAAGTGGAGTTTTCTATACCCCCCTGTCCCTGGGTACCGAAATCGTCGGAAATGACACCGGAAATATCCCCGTATACCGAAAATGCACAACGTATATTTTTAGAAACACACCGTTTTGGGTCCACGCTGGATCACATACATATGTATATACATTTATATAGAGTATACAAAGCACATTTGACGTTTGGTGTTGTTTTCGAATCGCGGTTTTCGACCTGCGAGGCAGACGAAACAAACATTGCCTTGCACCGTTTGGCCTTCCAAAGTCGGGATCCCAGAGGGCGGAGGATTGAGGAGATTGGCGAGAGCAACCTCGAGAGAAATAACCGCAAGCCCCCGTTCTGACGTTAAGAGAATGAGCCCCAGACCAAGGCCTAGTTTCTCGTCACGTCGGTCCAGGGAAGGCGGCCCCCATACGACGATACAAAGTAGATGAAGACAGATGGTTGAGCAATGGCCGGAGATTTGGAATCCCATGCCATGCAGATGGTTGGTTGCTCTGAACGCGCGCCTTGGCGGCCAGCCACCTCGGGTCAGACGGGTAACGGGGGGGCAACTTCAGCATACACTGGAAACCCATGCCAAGAAACACCCTGCTTGCCTCCAGGGTGCCCTGGGCTTGGGTTTCGATGGTTTTGCCGTGTAGAGCGCGACGCTCCAACACCAAAAACCAACGGACGTCCTGGAGTTCCAGGGTTGGGTTTCTTGTGGAAGGTTTCTTGTGGTCGAGCCCCTACTGTAAGGTTGTTTGCAGGGCGTGTGGAAGGTTTCTTGTGGAAGGTTTCTTGTGGTCGAGCCCCTTCTGGTGGTCGGGCCCCTGGCCCCTCCGCAGGTCCCTGGTCCGTAGGGGAGAACTCGGGGTGAAAGGCTGTTGTTGGGAGAGGCCCGAGGCATCAGGGCTCGCTTCCTGCAGAACCCGTTCCCTCCATGGCGAGATCCCCACCCCTTTCTCGTAGACGATCCGCAGATGTGCAGCGGTGCTCGAGGGAGCATCCAGCTGGACCCGCGCCCTCGCAGGAGCACGAGCTCCAGCGACTGGCTCTCCCAAGTGTCGGCCGAGTTTCGGCTGCTTGAGCTTCCGGGGACTGAGTCTCAGCGCCATTTCCTCTTCCTCCTTCTCCTCCTCCTTGACACCCGCTGATGTGATTTTGTAAGTCCTTGGCCCCAGAGGTCCCGAACGCTTCCCCCGGGGTCGACGGCGAGCCTGGGGCTGAAGTGAGACGGGGTGGGCTTTTTCAGCAGGTTCGGAAGTCCCCCGGCCTGAGAAGTTCTCTCCGCTTTCCCCGACGCAGATCGGCACGAACGACACGGCAAGAATGTGCACAATGCCCAACAGCAGTTCCTGTTCATTTTGAACAGGGCTCGCTGTCCGCGCCGCCGCGGCTTGTGTCCACTTGAGACAGAAGGCCGCCTGCCCAACAGCGGCCGCTGTTGGTTTGGGACGACATTTGTTGTTGGGCATTGTGCCCATCGTTTCCGTACCCTTTCCGGGCGTACAGAGCAGAACTATATTGGCGAAGGACCCAACCATATGCAGTTGCGAGTGCCGCAGTCGTGAGTAGCGCCTTCGGTGGGTAGCTCGTGGGGGGCGAAACGTGTGAGGGGTGCGCCGAAGCGAGATGGCGGCGGCACGCGGGCGCTGCCATTGGGGCCTTCGGTGGAGCACCCTATGGGGCCACGAAACGTGTGAGGGGTGCGCCGACATGGGGGTGGAATTGCATACGAACCCTGTCACTGGGGCCTTCGGTGGAGCACCCTATGGGGCCACGAAACGTGTGAGGGGTGCGCCGAAATGGAGGTGGAACTGCACTCGGACCCTGCCACTGGGGCCTTCGGTGGAGCACCCTATGGGGCCACGAAACGTGTGAGGGGTGCGCCGAAATGGAGGGTGGAACTGCACGCGGACCCTGCCACTGGGGCCTTCGGTGGAGCACCCTATGGGGCCACGAAACGTGTGAGGGGTGCGCCGACATGGGGGTGGAATTGCATACGAACCCTGTCACTGGGGCCTTCGGTGGAGCACCCTATGGGGCCACGAAACGTGTGAGGGGTGCGCCGAAATGGAGGTGGAACTGCACGCGGACCCTGCCA